CGCTGGAACGAGCCAGATAGCAGCCATCGTACGGGCACTCGGCTCGGTGGCCAGACTCAGAACACTTGGAAAGGTGGCAAACGAAGCGGCGAACACAAGCCCGCCGACTATGAGACTGTATGAGGCATTAAGCAGTGTGAGAACTAGACAATCCTCACCGCAAGTCATGAGAGCACCGGCAACAATCACCGAGAATATGATCCAATTCTTCGTCAAAATCTTGATGCGCCAAGCGAAGAACACTTGCACTACTCCTGCGATGATGCCCTACATATTAATTAGCGGGTCAGGACGATCCATAGAGAGACATCTTGACATACCACCATAGCGGGATCTGTGCACATAAACCGCCTTTTAACAAAACAGTATCAACTATGACAAAGTAGATGACCAACCGGTGGCTAGTTCTATAAGTACACCCAGGCGGTTAGTATTAGTCGTGCGGCGAAATGGTGGGGAAAACGTACCCCAAGGAAGAGCCAACAGAGCGTCGACATTCACTGTGCGCTGTACGCATTAAAAGAGGAGCAAGAGAAGCAAGAAAGTGGCGCACTGAAGTTATATACTGAGAGAGGATGGCAAGTTGTAAATATGTCCGAAGGCAAACCGAGTAAACATGGACGTACTAAGAACATCGTATATCCACGTAAAACTGAGTACGGAGTTCAACGTGCTGGCTATCATTACCACCGTCACCTACGTGGAACCCATCAGCGGCATCCCAAGCAACGAAACGGGAAGCACTCACGAAGGTTTTCATCCATAACGGATCCCTGCGACTCTGTTTCAAACATGGAACGATGATGTTAAAGAATTTTACTCACTTGGGGAACACCGAGAAGTAATGGTGCGTCTGCATCAGACTAATGCCATAGAGGATTGACTGCACGAAAATGCCGGCTGTACGCGATGTTATGAGTTGACTGATAGTATTTGACTTTGGAGAAATGATATATACCTAGAGCGGGCCCATGACTTTGTGAAGAGGGGCACCTTCAGTAAGCAGGTCGAAGAACACAGTGGAATGACTACGCACAGACTAGCTGCAGGGCTGGTAGACATGGCACTGTCGGCTGATGGTGTAAGACTTGGGACGAGAGACAAGATGATTATGTATATACCTCGTTTGTTTCACATATCTCCGCCCATATGGTCTACTTTTGGTGCGCAAAAAGCGAGAAACAGCCCAGACCAACTGATCGGTTGTGCGGCCGGAAGTAAATATTTCACGGCAATCACTGGTTTCTGATATACATCTCACACACTCGCACACACCCTCACAACTGTGTTTCCCCGTGTGGGATGCATTCCTGTCGCCCAATTTTCCGATAGGAATATTTTCAGAAAACCCTACTGTGATTAAGAGTGTGCACAACTGAGATTGCAGAATAGCAGAGGGACTGACCAAAGTCCAACCCAGTGCGAACAGCTCTTGGGTGGTCTCAAGATAATGATGTTAATTGATGTTAATCGTCCATACGACTCGACTGGAATATCAATTATCCATCCAAGGTCTTCTGAGACTCACCATTCTCCAAACTTCTCCAAAGTGACGCGCTGCGCGTAGTAGTCCGAGTCGGCTGCGCTCAAGAAAGGTCGAGGCTATTGAGTACTGAGAGCCTTCATCGGTACTAGTTTCATCACTATGCTAAATATATCTGGCGTGCGTTTCTCCGCGCAAGCCTGATCAGGATGTTGAGGAGACGCAAATTTTATGCTTCCTGGCAGAGTTTGCCAAGGTGTTTTGTCAAGATGAGGTTTACGCCGTTTGCGATAGTCGTCAAGTGACGGCGTAGGGATGATACTGACTCGGTGAGCTCCTTTGGCAACAAAGTGGATCGGAGGTTGTGGATGAAGGAAGAAAAATTTAGTTGGCGTGACAATCCCCCTCGAAACTTTGTGACGTTGGAGGAAAACTTGGAATAAGACATGTGGACGAAGCGAGGCTTGGGCGCCAAAGCGGTCAAGATCTTCAGCCTGTTTAGTGCGATCTGCACTTCTTTCGCCTGACCCACCCGCAAATCACTGCAAATCAATCTCGCGCCTCGTGTAGAGTCGCCTCTCACCAACGTGGTATTGAATGTGAACAGCGGGTTAAGAGTTGTATTCTGTGTGCGTGCTATCGCGCTATCCGCTATGTCGAGATAGTACTGATACACGGTGTAATTCCGAAAGGAACGAGGCATCGCTAAGTACGCCCAAACCATTCTGGCTCAGTACTGCGCCTGCCATGGGAACCGTGCAGCTGACATTTAGATGCACCCCCTACGCGATGTAGCTTACGAGCCGTGGTCCTCCGCGGTATATCAACGCGACGGGTACAGACGTCGACCTCATCTTCCGTCCTTCCACATTTTCTACATCAAACTTCTATATCAGAACGCAATGTCTAGCCCTACCCGAGTTGCTATTGTCACTGGTGCCGCCCTTGGACTTGGTCGCGCGATTGCTTTGAGGCTTGCCGCCGATGGCCTCCATGTCGTGGTTAACGACCTTCCCAAGCAGAAGGACAACCTTGAAGCCCTCGTGAAGGAAATTGAGGCAACAGGCTCTCGAGCGGCGCCGTTTATTGCGGATGTTACTGTTGAGGAGAACGTGAAGAACCTTGTGGCATTTGCTGTCAGCACATTTGGTGGACTTGACGTCGTATGTATTCGATTGGTTTCACAATTTCCCTGCAAAGGTTGATTCACGTGTATGCCTTCCAATAGATGGTGGCCAACGCTGGTACCGCCTTCGTGAAGTCTATCCTTGATAGTGCGCTTCGTGTTCCTATGGACTGCGTATCATACTCACCATCAATCTCCCCTTTCTGTAGCCACTCTTGAGGACGTGGATGGGCTATTCAACATCAACTTCCGTGCAGCCTTCCTTTCTTATAAGTATGCGGCAAAACAGATGATTGCGCAAGGTCGGGGCGGACGTATCATTGGTGTGTTAGGTCAGGACTCCCAGATAAGACTGCGTGCTGACGTCATGATTCAGGTGCTGCTTCAGCTGTTGCTAAGAAGGGTATATTTCCTTTCATTTTTGTTCCGCGCGGTAGTTGACCATTACTACAGGCTTCCCCTTCATGAGCACCTACTCTGCGACTAAGTTTGCCATTCGTGCTCTGACGCAGTCCGCAGCGCAGGAATGGGGTGCTTACGGCATTACTGTCAATGCTTACTGCCCAGGAATCATCTGGACTCCTCTCAGTGCGTCTCATTCAGCCTTGAGCCCGTTCGACTTACACATTATTTGTCCGTACAGTTGAGGCCCTCGGGGCTTCTCTTGCTTCCGTTGTCGGCCAGGCTGATGCGGACCCCAAGGAAATGGCAAGTTGCACTGCTGATATTTTTCTGATGCAACGATAATAATATGTTACTGTCTATAGTGGGCGAAGTCCTGCTCACTCGGTCGCATTGGTGAGCCCAACGATATCGCTGGCTACGTATCCTTCTTGGCGTCCAAGGATAGTGGCTTCATAACCGGGCAGAGCGTAAGTTGTCCTTTCCATCTTAGTCTCTCCGGTCATGATTTATTTTGTTTTGTTTAGACCCTGGTGGATGGTGGCTCGCTCTTCGATTGAACATGATCGAGATAGAAGCACCATATTAATGTGTACACTCTCAATACCTGGAAACTAAATGATACCTGTGGATTAAAGTCGGACTATAAAGCAGTCTCATAAATGTGCAATGGCCTAGACATAACGTAAGGGCAGTCAACGGTCAATCCGTGATCAAAAGTCTGACTGTTCAGAATGTCCGGATTTAAGTGTTGTCCAAGGTGTCACTCAGTTTCTCTGCTACAAGGGGGATATAACTTTATATCGCTCACCGTAGTATCCAACTTCCAGTTGTTGAGAAGACGTAGACATATTCTATCTTCCGATAGTTAGCTCCTCCAAACTTATTACCAAACGTGCTACCTATTCCTATCTTTGCGGGAATGAATGATTTAGAATTTTATATCTGTACCACGAGCGCATCATTCGGAGGCGATTGTGCTGTCTTCCGTGTTAGCGTCCGGATAGTCTCGATGTGCATCAATATCCTCGAGTACGCCAGTAATCCTTTGAACGCGGTGAATATTAGGCAATGGGGGCTCATCCTGAAACATCGACACTTGGCGGAGCTGTAGTACATACCGTTTTCGGTGGCAGGAAAAAAGTGGGCCGCTCTCAATGGAGGTCGCTCTACATATTCAAGAAAGCAGAAGTGACTCAGTTATCGAGCAAAGACTCATCGCTCTGTGCTTTGGACGAGCCTCAGTCACTGTACGGAGCATTTCAAGATTGCCAAACTTATAGATGATTCGGGCCTATAAGGACTTGACAGAATTTAGATAAGTAACTTTTATAACAACGGATGAACCAGATAAGTCACAAAATGAACTTTTAAACCAAGGAACATAAGGCTCCCACGAGCTCCAACCCTTGAAATTATTCACTCTTCACAAAGAGGGACAACTCTTTACCTTTTTTTCCTATTTACGAAGACCGTGTAAATTGGTGTTAAATGTTTATAAAGAGTAGATAAAGAGTATTTATATGGGGCTATAATGCAGGCCCTGCATATCAGAATATGTAACAATATGAAATTTGACTTATCTTCGACTCGATACTGCAATTTTGTGTGCGACTTAAGGATTGTAGAAGTCACCATTGAGCCTTACAGATTGCAGAAGCGCCCGTAGGGGGCGCTTATGGATGCAATGCAGCTTGACTCGCGAAGTTGCATCCGCTTAACCCTCTTGAGAGATACTTTGGTAATGCAGTGTGTAAAACCCGAAAACAACATCAGCAATACAACAGGAAAATTCTTCTGTATTCCCTTCACCCTTCAACTAAGATACATTGCTTTTTAACTGAAGTTACTGTTTACTCTTTATAAACCATCTATAGACTGTTTATAACCCTTTCTCTTTTTTATGGCACCACTGCAAAGGCAAAGTAAAGGGTTGGAGCCTTAAAAGAACAATGTGAAATGATAGGGCTCAATATTTGATAAAATAATTGCCAAGAGCGTGAATTGAACACGCGACCGTCAGAACCCACTAAATCATCGTTGAATCCGTGATCCTACCAATCTTCAGTCTGCTGCTCTCCCAGCTGAGCTATCCCGGCTTATAGCCAGCCGTACATAAGTGCTACATGGCCTACAATTAACGAGCATACGACCGTATGTACAAACAAAGAAAAGCCATTCTTTCTCCAGCGGATTGGAGTCGCTCGTCGAGGAGGAACATAATCTGCTACTAGAAGTGTACAGATGACTTAAAATTGGAATTCGCCACAAGATTAAGCGGGCAGGGATCACAGGCAAAGTGCGTCAGCAACATTCCAAACACGAAGTGTGCCGTCGTCAGATGTAGAGATTATATCCCGGTCATCATAGGTAAACTGTAGACTTTTAATCCTATCGGTGTGACCCTGGTATTCTGCAATGAATGCCCCCAATCGCTGGTCCCACAGCTTCACATTCCCTTCCGCAGAACCCGCAGCGACCAGGTCTCCCCTGCGTGAGTATGAAACAGCATTGACTATAGACGGCCTTTCGGAAAATACGTGATGCTGTTCTCCAGAATATGAATCGCAGGTGACGATCGCTTGGTCGAATGAGCCTGAAAGAACTTCTCGGCCGTCAGGGGAGAAAGATGCTGACCAGACTGCACTTGTGTGTTCATGGAGAATAACGAGTTCCTCGCCTGTTGTCATACTCCAGATGCGGCAAGTGCAGTCTTCTGAGGAAGTGAGAAGACGATCTCCATCCGTGGTGATCTGCAAAGTCCAGACGGCACCCTGGTGTCCCTCGAGATTGAACAGCCGCGTTCCAGTATTGACATCCCAAATAGCAGCAAATCTATCTGAGCATGATGCGAGACGTGAGCCGTCCGGCGTCCACTGGACATGCATCACATTCGCCGAGTTACCGAGGAGGGTTCTTAACCGTCTGCCGTCACTGGCATCCCAAATTCCAATAGAATGATCCATTGAACCCGTTGCGATACGGCTGCCGTCTGGGGAGTACGCTGCCACCCAAAGATCTGCAGTGTGACCGATTAGCACCGCCACCCTTGGATCAGCAAGCTCCTCAACATCCCAGATGATGCCTTCACCATTGGCACTCCCGGAGACAAAATGCCTAGAATCGGGAGCAAAGCATACCGTCCATACTGTGTCAACGTGATCATCGTATTGGCGGTGCAGCGCGCCATCCTCTAGTCGAAATACCCTGACAACTTTGTCATCAGAACCAGTTACGACTAGTCGTCCATCTGGAGATAACGAGACGCTTGAGATGGACATGTCTTCCGCGGATTTGTCCATCAACGACAAGTGAGGCCATTTCACGAGAGGAGAATCAGGTGGCCTCCTTCCCACAAGTAGATTTCCGAACTGTATAGACTCCCGCCTATCGTGGAGACCCTCCTCACCAACGTCCATAGCATCCTCCGGTATCCCCTCTGCTATTCCTTCAAAATTGGACCGATTCTGTTTTCGATGAATTGCAGCCTCTATGGAGAGCATACCGGCTATCAGAACCAACTGGTCAGTAAGTGCCATAATAAATAAAAAGGACAGGTGGCACACTTTTCGTGGTTGAATCAACATCGATCTCAGGTCTGTTTTCCCTTATGTAACCAGCAAGGTTCTCAGGCCAAGAATGCCCCTTGTGTATGCGAGATGAGAAATTTTTCCGTGGATATTGGACGAATTGACTTACATCAAATAGATCTGTGATGTCGGCTTCACTTGTAATGGCGACATCAACGTCTGTGTTCTATTGCATTGTCAGATGCGCGCCGGTAACTCGAGAGATGTTCACTTACCTGCAAGATGTAATCTAGTACAACATCCAACGGACCGTGGAACTTCATGACGTATCAGTCTAGTGCACTGAATCTAGGCGACTAATCCGCACCGAGCTCGTTTCGGGAACCATTTCTATTTGTGCATCTCCGTCGTCATCCTGGTCAGGTAGCTGATCGGGACCTGCCCCTGCTTCAATCTTTGGTTGCAAAAAGGAGAATTTCCGATATTTGATCTTGTAGTGAGCTAGAAATACACACTGGTTTCTCGGAAGGGATGTGCGATACGGGGATAGGAATTCTGCGGGATCGCGTCGAGGGCCAGAACGATGGTCGGTGAACCAACTCCCTCTATGGGAAAAAGCGACGTCGAACCCAACACTAGCAGCGGGTGAAATCGATCCATTGATCGCAACTCTGGAAGCGCGTCCTTCGGCTTGAAAAGCAGAGACGGTCCATTCAGTCGTTTTAGTCCATCCCCTAACCAAGATGATATCTTCTGGCTTGCACTCCAAGGTCAGCACGTCTTTGGCAAACTGAAACCAGCTCGGATGGTGCTTGCGCATATAGTCTGCCCACGTTTTATTGGGTAGGACGCCCTCCTTTGTTGCGTCGTCTTTCAGTACGAGTATCGCTCCTGCCGCTTTGTTTGCCTCGAACTTCCATCCTATACCGGCACCTACAGGTAAACCTGCTTGACTAACAGATAATGAGTATATCGGTCTTCCTATGTAGGGCAAGAACGCACACTGAACCGTGTATCTCGACCTTGGTGGTTTTGACGTTTGTGCTGGTGATTGGTCCAACCTCCAGAGCGCTTTCGCGCATCTGGTTAAGACGGTCATGGTATACGAGGGGGGTAAATGCCTCAGGGAGACCGTCGGGATGCCATCCATGATGTTCAGTCACATTGAATAACCGGACAAAGCCACCTTCGTGACACCAGCCAACGTCTCCGATCTGGACTTCGCCTTTATCGACCTCAGGTTCTGGAAACCACAGAGGAAGACCGTGGGAATGCGAGGTGAGTTGCTCGGCATAAACTGTGGGTGCTGAAAACTTGGACATGGCCTTCAGGTCACCGTTGAAGCCGATAGCAATGCAAGCGACCTTTAGAAGCGCTTAACTTAAGGTTGCAACGTGTTTGCGCCAGTCCATCGATTGATGTTCAATGGCAAACTCCCGAGAATACGTAGTCTTGGGAATCGCTCTTTGTCCAGCCTCACGGGGCTGTGTTGATGGAAAGCAACTGTGATAGTTTGCGTCAACTTTTCCAAAGGAGGATGAAGGCAAGGCTGTAGCATTTAATCGTGCGTGTGATACCTAGACTGCTGTGCGGTCCTAACAGGGTATCCCTTGTGCGTCTTGTCATTTGCGACCGAACCTTATTCATGTCCAGGCGGAGATGGCCTGAACGCATGCCAGCAGCTTGTCTGTGGAACAGATACAATTAGCACTGGAATCTGAGAAGCAGAGATTCTTCACAAGCCGGTATAAATGCGGAACAAGGTCGAATGCACAGGCATGACTGTCCCTCCTTGTATTAGAGTATCGAACTTGCATCCGAGCCTCTCGAGTCAGCGGGACAAGCCGAAGCAGTGCCCGGGAAGCCAGTGGCACGTCCACGTGGGAATTTCTCCGAAGCACACTGGCGCTCCGTACTTATAGTCTGAGCCTCATACAACTAATGTGGTCCATTTGATAGTCTCGGGATGTAGTAGTATTTACCACTGGCGAAGAATTTTCACTTGCGATATATATCTAGGAACATAAACGTGGTACCAATATTCTTTTTGTTGTCTTTCCAAATAAGACTTCATGCAGACTTCTTATACCTGTATAGATACAGCAACAGACTTCCTGAGCATCGGTGTCTGAGTAGTACACAGACTCCACGTATGCTGCGAGGCATGACTGATGCATCTAAATAATTTGACCCAGCTCCGGAATATGAATACAGCGGACGAGATAAAGGGAGGAGAGTAGTTTTACATTTGCCACTGTGGACGTTCAAAGCCTAAGAACATCAAGCATGCTCCAGATACGAACAGAACCGTCGTCAGAGGAAGAGATGACGTTGTTGCCATCCGGAGTGAACGTGACTGTCTTCACTTTATCTTCGTGACCTTGGAACTCCGCCAAGAATACGCCAGACTTTGCATTCCATACCTTTACACCTCCATCTGCACAGCCAGCGGTGAGATACTCTCCATCAGGAGAATATTCCACGATATTGACGATCGAGGGGCGCTCTTCCAAGATGTGATGCTGTTCGCCAGTATAGGAGTCGCATACAGCGACCATAGCGTCATAGGAGCCAGACGCAACTTCTTGATTGTCGGGAGAAAACGCAACCGTCCAAACAGGGCCTGTGTGTTCCCTGAGAGTTACGAGTTCCGCTCCGTTTTCTGTACTCCAGATACGGCTGGTGTGATCCTCTGCGCCCGTGACAATTCGGCTGCCATCTGCAGAGAAAGCGATGGACCAGATCACGCCCGTATGCCCTTGCAAGATACCAAGGCGATGACCGTTCGTAGCATCCCAGATGTGCCCGACAGAATCGGCGCAAGACACGAGGCGCAATCCATCAGGGGAGAACTCTACCATCATCACCACGGCGCTGTGTCCCTCCAACGTAGTGAGGGGAGTCCCGAGTCTTCCGTCCCAAAGTTTGACTGTGCAGTCGACTGAGCCCGTCGCAATGAACTTTCCGTTAGAGGAGTACGCCAGAGTCCAGACGTCGCCGCCATGACCTTCAAGCTCGGTAATTTCAATGCGGCGGTCCACATCCCACAGAATTGCCTTCCGGTCTGCAGATCCCGACACGACCCTGGAGCCATCGGGAGAATATGCTACCGCCCACACCGTGTCCTCATGCCCCTCGAGTTTCGCAACCAACAGGCCAGACTCTAGATCCCACACTCTCACGATACAGTCCTCCGAGCCCGTAGCGACGAAATGTCCGTCCTTCGATAAGGAAACAGAAGTGACCGAACCGCCTTCCGCAGTTTTATCGAAAAGCACAGTGTGAGGCCAATTGATGGGCTGAGAGTTTGGCCCTTTCTTGCCAAGTATTAACTGTCCATCATTCACAACGCACGAGCCCGTCGCACCCAACTCAGCAAGATGACGAGGGAAGGGGGGGAAGTGATTTTCAAAGGCTTCGTCTGACTCATCCTGGGAGTCGCCCAGTTCGCTTCCTTCTTCGGACACATTCATAGTCGCACCCCGTTCAGTCGCATGGGAAGGACTTGCCACAAATGCGTCCAATTCCATTTTTGCGATGGTTACGTTTTGCTGAGCGACAGCAGCATG